AGCTGTTTAATAGCTACAGAGTCAAGAATAATTCACTGGATAATGTTAATTCACTGAATAATATTCTCTGGAATATAACAAACAAAGCATCATATTTTATTGCATTTCTCAACTGGAATGTTATATCAGAATTATTAATAATGTTTTTGCTGACAGCGTGGTTTATCTATGCATTTACACAGAATTATGCTCAACTGCGATCGCTCGTGGAGATAATTAATTTCCATAGAGTTGTATTTAGATGTTTATTAGCGAAATAATGGTTATATAATAAATGTTAATACAATTTAGGGTGTTTTAAACAAGTGAATCTTGCTAAAAAGTTACATGCGGTGGCTGTGCTAGAGCTATTCCTGAGCATTAACTGCATCAACCCGTTGAGTGAACAGCAATATGAAAGCGGCTTCACGAGACTAATGATGAGCAAATACACAACAGAGAGAGAATTAAATTCAGCGCTTTTATTTCCAACATGCGCTCATTCATGGCTGCATATTTAATTCAGGCAAAGTTACATCTTTATTGGGACAGGACTTGACGGGTTATTTTACATGACTGCGTGAGTTGGTGTCTATTTCTTAGAGCCAAGCTGCATAAACTACATATCAGGCATGTAATGCATCTAATTTGTGCATAAATGGCTGTTATGTTAAATAAAGTTTACTAACTACAGCAAATCAAGTACCTGCACCATGCCGTTGTTGTTGTCTCGTCTCCCCTCAGATGCGTTGCAAAAGCGATCCTGCGCGCAATTCTCAAAACACCCACAAGATGGTGGCGTTTATCGGTGAATCCGATATTACAAAACCGAGATCCGACTATGGTAAAATGCTTAAATATCAGGAAAAATATCGGTAAATCGATATATCGGTCGATCTCTAATACTGAGACAGTCTGCCATCAACCTTACAAATGGTGAACAATAGAGTTGAGTCGGCATTACCATAGACATCCAAGACTTCGGTGTTTGTATAGCATACTGTGAGTTTACCTGTATCAAAAATGAATACTTCATCTCTCTACACCTGTGCCTTCACCACTTTCTGCCTCCGATGAACGAACTACCTGTCTCAACTTTGCTTCTTACTACCTAGCTCAACCTGTAGGGATGCAAACAAATCAAGTCATCAATGCCCAAAACAAAACAGACTTTTAATATACAGGTCATACTAGTCAAAGCTTGATTGACACCCATTTTTGGTTATTTTGTGTGCATATATATATATATATATATTTAAAAAAATCTATTTTTCGATATATCGTTTTTTAAAATGTGGTCGATTCAATATCGATTCTCAAAGGCCACGAATCGATTTTTTTTCAATATTTATTTCCGCAAACATTGAACATAATAAGATTTACGTTAATCTTATTACTAGTCTAATCCACTAGATGTCACCCCCTTATTTGCCTTGCGCGATGTTACAACGGAGAGTCCGTCATTCATTCATTGCTTAAAATGGCAGATTCAGGTTAGGCTTGCCGCGATAGACGGTGCTAACGGTGTTAAGCCGCAACACCGGTTACGTCACTTGCCCACCGCGGCACCGACCCCCACCGTCGTTTTGATTTTTTATAGTAATAAAAATCATTTAGTTCAGTAAAAGAACAGACTGAACTGGCTGCTCAATGCAGCGTGCCGAACGACAGCATCACAGATCAGACTTCATTTCTCCAGTGAGGAGAGCGAGTTGAGCTGACTGACAAGAAGAGTGAGGTGAGACAGGCAAGACGATCGCGGATTATTTAGTTTCGAAACTAGATGCAAAAACGCCTGTTTGGCAATATTTTGGATTTTGAAAAGCCTGTTGACTTTTGCCGTTTATCTAAGGTGATTTTGGAAGTTTTTTTAAACATTAGTTTCTTATTTAATTGGTTCCACAGTGTTTGCTGATTTTTACTTTATTTAAACTTTGTGTCATTTATTTATTTTATTTGACATCAAGGTGTATTCCGTGCCTCCAAGCTGTCTTACTCGTTTTGCTAATAAACGTTCTACGTTTCTTATTTATTTGGTTATATATTATACATGTTTACTTAACCTATTTCCAGTTTTGGATATACATTTAAACTTTATGTAAGTTATTTGTTATTTTATATTAGGCATAGCCTGCCCTATAGCATGGTGTATTTGTATTTGTTTTGTTAATAAAAGTTATATGTTATATACGCTACAGTGATGTTTTGACGTTGTATTTTGTTGTTGCATTCAAGCAATTGATGCCAAACTGCCGCCAATTCAAAAGTGAAAGTAAAATGCGGACGGTGCTTTTAAGCTATTTAAAAGCGACGGAAAGCAAGGAAAAGAGAGACAATTCAAACGAACTAAAAACGAACAATTGCTTTACGCCGAATTGCCGCTATTTCAAAGTGAAAGTAAAATGCGCACGCCGCTTTTACAAGCTATTTAAAAGCGAAGTAAAGCTAGAAAAAGAGGGTATGCCCCCACGGTGATACCGGTATTACCGATGTTGTCACAAGTCGATTAACCGGTGGGGAAATTTCCTCACCGTAACAACCCTAATTCAGGTGCATTCCCGACGTCAACACCACCTTCACATAAAAAGGTATTGAAGCATTTTAGATTTCGCAAGCACGATGACAAAGATACTGTGGACAAGAACAAAGCTATATGCCAAACAATACTGTGGATATATATATATATATAAATGTTTACCTATACATAAGTAAAAAAAAATAAATAAATAAAAATAAAAAATACAGACTATACGGATGCTTCACATAAACACTGTACCTATACACAGCTAACCTACTGACAGATTTGACTATGAATATACTATATATAAATGTTTACCTATGCATAAATTAAAAAAAAATAATAATAAAAAAAAAAATAATATATGAAAATAAAATTATGGCAATACGTGGATTTATATTTATATATATATATATATATATATATATATATACACACACACACATATACATATATAAATATAAAGTGACTTATATCTGGTAGTTGCTTAACACTAACAATAAACCTCGGCAAACTTGCAAAACTTTAACGTGACTTTCATTATACCAAAACCACGTACTGAATGAACTCTTGATTCGGCGCCAGAAATGTCATCTGAACCGATTCATTTCTACTTCCTCATGATCGCGCGCATTTGGCCACCAACCCATTAAACCGACAAAACGGTGCAAATGTGTCCACTATCCTTACCTTTAACTTACACGTTTTAACACACCCTTATGATTTTCCACAGCAAGAGGGCATTCTGAGATGGTTAATCGTGTTTTTGTACCACTACCAGTCGGGTTGTAGAGGGAGCTCTCTACAGTTTTTATCCCTTCAGTCGTTTGTTGCTTGAGGTTGGTCTTTCAATAAGAGTGAGCGGTCGCACCGAGACCGACGACCGCGGCGATTCAGCGGTGTTTTCAGGCGATAAACAACGGGATTCTGGAAGTGCACGGCGGCGAGGCTCGGTCTTATCGAAAATGGCCATCGGTGTCATTTAGCAACATCTTCCTCGTTTGGTTTTAATCTGCGCAATACGCTAGCATCGGCGGCAGAACGAATGCTAAACCGCCAAAGAGGCATTTAATGTTTATATATTTACATTTAACCCTATCATTTTGGATTCCGGGAGTGAAAAAGACCAAAGAGCGAACACAGGCCGCAGCGATGGGACTTTATTATCGCCGAACCGGGTCAATGTTTCATCGACTCGGGTTTGAATTTAACTGCTCGAGGAGGGGCGCGAACACGGCGATAGGCGCGAGCTAAAATGTATTTTACGGCTTAAAATCGCACATATTCCGCTTAAAACCCCGCGAATTTGACGTTAGTGAATTTAGATGCTTGTTTTAAGCTGTTTGGGTGTGGCAAGACTGGAAATTGGTTAACTTTGAGAAGCATATTAGCTGGTTGGCTAAGTGCGCGTGCAGAAACGGCGGGTTTCTAAAGACAGGAAACAAAGAGAAGAAACAGAAAATGGACGCCTGGCCTAAAGATTGAATCAAACATCCTGTCGTTAAATAATGGCATCTTGGTGAAATGCTGTCTGATATAGTTTCAATAGTGCTTAATAACCGGGCTGAAGCCCGAACTTCTGGGTTATAAATGTTTTTTGCTAAATTTTCGATAACGATAGAGGGAGACAAACACCCGCCGCCAGCCGCCTGGACTGGGAGCCCCATCGTGACACCTAGAGGCCGATTAAAGCTCCTGCAAAACTCCCCCCTTTCGGAAAAGTCGTGCTGTTTTACCTGCGTTTGGTGATTTACTCTCGCGTTGAATTCGACAGAAAGCCCAGGGTTTGTTCTTCCTTCAGTACGAGACGGAGTACAATTGCGTCCTTCACCTCCGGCGGTTTTAATCCTCTCCCGCTTTTGCAGAGTAGGCTCCGCACAAAATGGCGGCCCTTAGCGGCTGTTGCGCATGCGCGTCACGCAGGGGGGCGGTGGCGTGGGGGAGGGCTGTAAACACAAGCAGTGTGCGGATTGGCCGTGTGGGGCGCTACTTTTGAATTACGGATGTGGGCTTTTCTTTTTCTTTTTTTTCTTTTAAGAAAAGTGTTGAGTAAAATGTTTACGTATAATATTATGTATATTATGTTAGCTGATCCTCTTATCACAATATTAGAAGATAATATGATAGTTTAACAGCCCAAATTAGAAATATAAGAGGGAATGGTAGTGTGAGAGCCTGTTTTATAATATGTGTGCGTTTTATATGTATTTGTGTGCGTGATTTTTTTTAAATCTTTTTTTTCCCTAAACTTTTTTTTTAATCTGTAGCCTAACATCAAAAACAAATCTTATGAAAAAAATATACTACTGAAACCGAGTCCTGTTATGTAATACTGTTTTTTTCCTTGATAATGACCATTTGAGCATGCATGCATTAATGTGGAAATGCTTCAGTTATGTAATTCCTTTATTTTCCAATTTTCTTTGTGACAAAGTACAAATAACAGGTGTCAAATTTGTTAAGAAGTCACCCAAATTTTAGTGTCCATAATTTAATAGTTTCCTTTACAGTTGATGTCAGCAATATCCTTGTCAGACAATATACATATTTAGAGTAAATAAAAAAAATCAAAAGTAAATCACTTCTTTAATGCTGCACAATCTGTAGATAATAATGAAAAATATATTTAAATCTGTTCTGCAGTTTGCAATCCTAAACCGCAGTCTCGAGTTTTAAATAAAGTCTATCTAATTCTCTTGCTCCCCATACTACTTTGAGGCACTTATACACTGAAGAGGCGTTCTTTGTCATTTAAGTCTGTAACAGATTGAACTAGAAAATAGTGTTATGTAAAAATGAACGAACCTTCTCTGGTTCCAACTCAGAACCTTTCTGTCTAGCAGCACTGGAGAAATGCTCTGAGTCAAACATGATCTATGGCCATTCTACAGATCACGAGCGTGGAACGGTTGTCGGAACCTCTTGCAAAAAGGCAATATTCACCACAGTTTACAGCTTTCACTCATAATGATGACATCTTCAAAAATGAATAAAAAATTAACAGCTTCACCACTTTTACAGCAGATATTACAATGCCAGTGGCTTAAACGTGAAGTGAACGGTGAATCAAATCAGATCTGTATTGGCTATTGAGCATTTAAACATTTAAACTAAATTACAACACAAAACATGTACACTTCCAATGGAATATAGATATATATTCTGTATCAATAAAGCATATGACAGTATGGAATGGCACTGTTACTATGGCAACAAGGTCCCTATGAAAGTTTGGGATTAATAAGGAAATACTTTCCAAGATCCCCATCCTACGTTTCGAGATGGAGACCCCCTCAGCCACCAACATACACTCTCCAATCATTATGTACACACACATAAACACTCTTAACAAAGTGGAAAATCAGATTCTCTATGTACTCTGCAGGTAGTCACTGCCTTGCACCAATAAAATGAAAACCACACTTTATCTCCCATCGCTTGTTTTGCTGATCAGGGTCCAGCTTCATTCCATGAATCATGAAGGCAACACCACTGGGCTGAATCTTAAGGCAGCAAAACATTCTTTATAAACCCATTCCCACTATGTATCTTACCTCATCACTTTACAGTAGTTCATCTTAGGCCATATCCAAAATATTAAGAGCATACAGGCTGACATACAAGACCTCTTGTCCAATGATTGTATAACATCGGTCCACGTCTTTGAGGACAATGCTGATTTGTGTCATTAAAACTGTTTGATAGCTTTTTTAATAGTGTGCATTTAAAGTTTGTAATTGGCATGATCATGACGGTGAGGATACTGAGACGCAAGTACAAGTATCGGTCAGTTGATTGTGTTAGAAAGCTGTACTGGCCATGCTGCCGGGCGCAAACAGCCGGGACATTCCATCTTGTGAGGACCCAAGGTGTCGATGGGCTATCTTGCCCTCCTCACCTGCAATTAAAACAAATGAAACACAAATAAGAGACATTGTCCTTCCCTCTAAAGTCTCAATACCTTTCGACCAATTCATTTTTATGCATTTAATTTAAAATAAATACTAAATGTAATCATGAATTACTATATTTTTCTTCTTCATTTTGGTTTGAAATTTTTTTTTTTTTACAGACTACAATTCTTTTTTTGACAGATTACATTTTTTTCAGCTGAAAATAAGTACAAAGTTGTACATTCATTATAAAAATCTCGCAAATTTCCCTGTCTATTACAGCCTGGAAATTCATTTTTAAATTCTCTGATCTTTGCAAGTTTTCCATGAACACAGTTGGAACACATTTGCAGTAGAGCTGCACGATTCTGGATAAATTGAGAATCACAATTTTTTTTGTCTCAAATAGAGATCACGATTCTCCCACGATTCTGAACTAAACAAAATAATGTGTGGCAAAATATGATTGCTGCAGTCTATTTAAAAGTGTTTAATTAATTTGAATGAAGCATTAAACATTGTAATATACACCACCAGTCAAAAGATATTTCTTTTGCATATCCGACAGTGTAACATTAAGCAGAAGTATCCTGTCTTCTGAGTAACATTGAGAATATCACGATATATTGTTGCAACATATATAATATATATATAGAATGTATGTGCGTGTGATTTTACATCTTTTTTCTCTAAACTTATTTTTAAAAATCTGTAGCCTATCAAAAACAAACCTTATGAAAATATCATGTAGGAACCTATACAGTCTATGGTAGGAACCCTGTTTTAAACAATAAACTATTGAAACCTAGTCTCTGTTATGTAATACTATTTTTTTCCTTGATAATGACTGTTTGAGCATGCATGTATTAAAGTGTAAATGCGTCAATTATGTAATTCCTTTATTTTCCAATTTTCTTAGTGACAAAGTACAAATAACAGGTATCAAATTTGTTAATAAATAAGTCACCCAAGTTTTAGTGTCCATAATTTTAATAGTTTCCTTTACAGTTGATGTCAGCAATATCCTTGTCAGACAATATACATATTTAGAGTAAATAAAAAAAATCAAAAGTAAATCACTTCTTTAATGCTGCACAATCTGTAGATAATAATGAAAAATATATTTAAATCTGTTCTGCAGTTTGCAATCCTAAACCACAGAGTGTTGAGTTTTAAATAAAGTCTATCTCATTCTCTTGCTCCCAATACTACTTTGAGGCACTTATACACTGAAGAGGCGTTCTATATGCTGACATGCTGTTCAAGAAACATTTTATTATTATTACTATTATTATTGTCAATATTTAAAACACTTGAGTACATTTTTTCAGGATTCTTTGATGAATAGAAAGATCAGCATTCATCTGAAATAAAAAGCTTTTGTAACATTATACACTCTACCATTCAAAAGCTTGGAGTCAGTTTTATTTTTGAGGGGGGGGGTTATATCAATTAATACTTTTATTTAGAAAAGATCCTTTAAATTTATCAAAAGTGATGATAAAGACATTTATAATGTTACAAAAGATTTCTAT